AAGCCCCAGGATGGATAAACCCTAAGAACGCACAATTGTGAGCATTTACAACCATCACGACTGTGGCTGAAGACTGTTCATGCCGTTCTTCTGAAAGGAGATCTCAAAGCAGTACAGTTCAAAACAAAAGATTTTAACAAAAAATTGGCATATGCACAATTTCTCCACCAATGTGTGTGTCAACCATTTAGTTTACTTTTCCACTTGAAAAAATGCAATAGAAAACTGGACACCATGTTTCACTATCTCAGTTAATATTCACAATTACAGCGGCTACAACTCGGGACACAGCATCACCAATGCTGCCCAGAGCCAGTTTATACTGAAATTAAGTTCTTTACACCAAGTAAATGGTTGTCCACAACCACTGGCTAGTGTACATATGAACTAAAATTTCTAGATTTGGGGAGAAACAAACGCTGCTCCGATCATCTGCTCTGCTCCTTCTGTTCCTCGATTCATGCTTAGAAACCTGTGGGGGTTTGGGCGGGCTGACCCTGCCCACTTGAAGAGGCTGCCTGCTGTGCTGCTTTCTGCTTTCACATTGTCCAGTCAAATGTGTATTCATATTGGTGGTTCAGGGTCCTGAAAAGAATGCGGAATAGCTGCCTCAGGTACATGTAATCTGGGGCTTCTTCAAAGCGCAGCCCACGACAGTAGTTTAAGTACTTGGCAAATTCTGCAGGAAACCCCTTACATAAAACTTCAACAGATGTGGACATCTTCTTTTCGCTAATTTTTTCATAGTTTTTGCTTCTTTGTTGCAGCCTTTAGTCCTTGCCATGGCAGGCTGGTTCTATTAAAATACATCAAAACATATCCTAATGACTCCATTTCATCTCAGCAATTCTGTTCAGTACCAAGATGTGCATTGATGCTAGCATATCGAGCAGTGCCAGTGAGATTTTTATCTTCTCTGTAAGGTATGTGTTGCCTAGTCCTGTTGTCTCTGTACTTTTTGGCCAAACCAAAATCAGTAAGGAATAACTTATTACAGTGACGCCCAGTACCCATTAGGAAGTTATCTGGTTTAATGTCTCCTTGTATAAAATTCTTTGTATGCACATATTCAATTCTACTGATCATCTGGTCAGCTAACATAAGTACAGTTTTCATTGTGAACCTTCTTGAACAGAAATTGAAGAGGTCTTTGAGGCTGGGTCCAAGAAGATCCATGACTAGCACATTGTAGTCTTTTTCCTGACCATACCACCGTATGTGGGGGATGCCGATCCCACCTTGAAGAATCTTGTAGAGTTTGCTCTCCTACAGCAACTGGGGTTGCCTGGCCTTCTGAGATTCTAGCTTCACTACCACTTCCTCGTCATTGGTGATGTTGATCGCCAGGTAAATGTCCCCGAAAGAGCCAGACCCGATCTTCCATACCAGTTTATATTTCCCTCCGACAGTGAATTCGGCCTTGGGGCCGCTGCTGCTCGCCATCCTGAGAGACGAAGATGGAGGCTGGGGCTAAAGCCCTGACACCTCTAAGGGGAGGACGAAGGCCACTAGAGCTCGTCCACCAAGCAAGGCTGCTGAGGACGGCGGAAATGGAAAATGTTGGCTCTTTCTTGGCGCTACAGGGACCAGGATCGGCCAAAGGGAACATGATCGCCGCCTCTGTCAGGTTTCTTTTTGCCAGGCTGCAGATTGTTGAGGGGGTTCTGGCAGTTACCAGGCCAGGCCACTTCTTTCTCGGCGGCCGCCGCTGCCTCGTTTTCGCGGTGACATCGCGGGCTGGAAAAGAGGCGCGGTGAGTTAGGGCGGCGATACCACTGCCACCACTGCTGCCGGCTCCCGCCTGGAGGGACCCCTGTCACTCCACCGACGCCGCCATCCTCGGTGTTACTATTGTTACCACTTTACAGGTGGGTTAACTGGAGTTTTACAGGAGCCACATAGCGTCAGCCCTTTGAGGAGCTGGCATTGGCATGCAAGCAGTGCAGCTGAGTCCCCTGGCACAAAGATAATTACAAAAATTTCTCTCTCATAGGCCCTGGGTTTAGTT